AAACAGCTGGCTCACAACATTTTTCACGCAGCTGCACCAAACAGACAGTCAACTTCCCCACAGCTGCTTCCCTACAGCTGCTTTCTGGGGTAGCGCAGCTGCAGCTGAAAAGCTGAGAATCTGCAGCTGCGCCAAACAGGCCCTAAATCTATATAAATCCTAAAAATCAGGCCATCAAATTCAGATTAAAGATAATACTCAATATTAAATAATTTAAACTTAAAAGTCCTAGAAATAATCCAAAATACTGATCATAACTAAAAGATGGTCAAATAATTGTGATGCATCAATTCCCATGGAGCTAATATAAAAACTCTTCCCTCAAATAGTAATGTAAAAGCTTTTCTTGGAAGTTCGATTTCTTTAGTGTAGGAGGTGATGTAGTTGGTTGATGAGCATTTCTTGTGTCGTTATCACGTATAGCTGAACTTAGGGCTTTGAATTTGCGAGCTTTAGATGAAAATAAAGAATACAAATACTAAGTATTTCTCCAAAAGTTTAATGCCCAGTAAATCTGATCGTTATCATTTATAGTAAACTTGGTAGTACAAGCATTGAGCATCAAATTGAAGAGAAATTGAAATTGTAGTAGATCTAGCGACAATAGATATTTTTTCATTAATGATTGGAGTTAGAATTCCATTTAAATTATAATTTATTGATAATAATAAATGTTAGGCTCATTCTATAGCATAAAGCCTTCTTCAGTAAATTTGTTAGGCTTCATGAATTTGCATAAGAACAATGTTTGACTTTTTGCTTGCAAAATAAAGTTAATATTAAATTTGCTTGCAAACGTTTGAAATTACTGTCCATTTTACACCAAAAAGATCAAACAAGATGTGGTTTTATACTGTTATCATTTTCATAAAACGACACAAGAAAGAAAATGCCACCACATCCTTTTTAATTCTTCATATCCATTACGAGATACAATCCTATCAATAGAAATTAAAGCATTGCTATTATGATATAAGTGCCGACAATTGACGAGAAACGACAGGGACAATCATTCTTCCGAAATTTTAAATTGAAGCAAAGGAACCATACTTGATATCAAGAAAAAGCAATCTATTCACAATAAAACAAATCATTACTGTTGCGATGTCAATAATGGTCTTTCGAAAGGGGTGGGAGTACCTTTGTTCAGGCACGAAGGTAAATACGGAACTGTAAAACGAGAATGACTGAGTTTAAGCTAAGAGAATCACCAGCAACTTCCGCACAACTTCGACATGGCCGCAATGCGCGGCGGAGAATAGCGCAGAGACGTCAGTCCTGAACTCCTCGTACCCGATCCTCACCTCATCCGCCCTCTCCTCTCCAAGCACCACCTCCGCGCACTTAACCCTCAAGTTCACAGTTCCAACGTAGTTTACATCCACCACGACCTCCCTCGCGGCTCCGAAATTTGCAGAAGCGAGGCATTCCTCCACCACCTCCACCTCCCCCATCAAAGCCGCCTCCACCAACCTCTGCGAGGGCAATGCGTACTCATCCGCTACCCTTTCGTTACGCACCGCCGCTCGCCTCCCCATTTTGTGCGGCTCGTTTCCTTCCTTTCCCTAGCTGATATCGTCTGAGCTATAAACTCTGAATCCGGCAACGGCGAGAAGGAAGTGAGCAAAGAGAAGAAGAGAAAATCGATCTAGCTGTCTGTATTGCAGCAAGTTTTCTCGCATCGCCGCCCTCCCATGGATTAGTGCTGGAATGCACGGCTCTCTTTGACGGGTTTACAGAGACCGGGGATCGAAGACATGGAGCAGAAGGAAGAATGGAAGATGTAGGAACGGCTAGCTGAGCAGACGCCGGAACGAGTTAAAGGCTGGTAACTACTGAAGTTACCAACCAGTTTTAAAACTATGAGTCAAGTTCAAAATTAATTTTGGAATAAGGCCGCCTTAAATTGGTGTTTTTTTAGGCAGCTTGTGCTTATTCTTTAATATGGCCCGTGAGTCTTTCGTGAAGTTCGATTCGTAGATTACGTTTAGTGTAAAAGTAAAATCCTATTTTTAAATAAACAGACAAAACGTGTCATTCAAATAGTAACTCAGTATGCTTAAAAATGACATCTCACTTATAAGCTGTCCCGAACAGGTCCTTCATTCAATATCATAAATAAGCGGTGTGCATATATTTATCATTAAATTTGCTTTGGTTGGTAAAAGAACAAAAGCAATTAGAAATGTCTCACATTTTTCTTATTTGTTAATACATCTAAACCTAAGTTTTAATATTTATCAATATCTTAAAATCACATAAAAAAAATATCATAATTATTCATCTTTTATCAATTGAATACACTCTTTAATATATAAATTTGTGACACTAAAATATTATAAATGTAAATATAAAATATAAATATTAAATTTAATACATTGGAATTATGTTATTATATGAAATTAAAAAAGCTTTTATGACTTAAATATTATTATTATTATTAAATTAAATGAATTGAATCTAGAGCAAACTGTTATTGAGTTGAAATGAATTTTGAATAAAATATTTTAGCCCAAAATTCTACTTTAATTTGTATATTTTAGCCCAAAATTCTACTTTAATTTGTAATTTTTTAACTGTTAAAGTCAGATTAGAAGTATTTTCGTCAAACCAACTGCAAGAGTAATAAGAACTTTAAAATTGGAATAAATCCTTGCAATGTGACTTAAATTTAGTAGGCAGAATTTTTTAACAAAATGGGATTTTGACGGGAGAAAATATTACATAAGGACGTCGCAAGTAAAGTTACATGCGGAGTCCAATGAAATCACGACGCGTGGCGGTGACATAAAAAAAAATAAATAAAATCTGTCTGGTAACACAAGAAAATATTCCTCCCATATTTTTCTGATGTTATTGTGTGTTATTCATGTGTTATTATGTGCTATTCAAGTGTTATTATTGTGTTAATATGTTATTATAACATCGGGAATATTCTCATAACACAATAACACATAAATAACATATAATAACACCTAAATAATACGGAATAATAAGTGAGAAATATTCACTTGTGTTATCAGACTAATTTTTTTTTCTATCACCTCCAAATAATGTGATTTCATTGGACTCCGCACATAACTCTACGTGCGGAATCCTGATACAATATTTTTTTTTTTTGACGGTGTAAAAGACAAATATATAGATGTTTTTCTTCAAAAGTGATTATAAAAAAATGTGACAAGTGATATTTAAATTAAACAAAATTTAAAATATTTATATAAAATATGGAAATTCGTGATGCTAAAAAAGAAAAATTAAAATAATTTCTTACACAGTCGTCGACGGTAAATAGATAAGAAGAGCTCCGACCAAAACAAAATGAGCCATAAATAGGAGGTTTTCAAAAATAAAAAAAACAAAAAATATTCAGCAGCTTCTCCATGTTAGTCAACGGTTGTTTTTCTTTAGAAATTTATTTATATATATATATATATATATAAAATTAAATAACTCTTTTAGTTGACCAACACTTATAATTTTTTAATTATTATAATAAGCCGCGGAATCTTCCACCACAAATCAATGGGTCCCATCTTCGGATTTGAAATGGCAGCAGGGTTAGTTCGTAGAAGTGGCTAGCACGTGAGGGGGCTCTTGTTGGGGCCCACTTTGGCATGCTTTCCCTCACGATCGAGGAGCATTTATAAAGAGCCGGGAACGCCCAGAAGCTTGTTTTTTTAATTGGGCTTAACATACGTTAGGATTAGGGGCTGCAAAAGAGCTTGTTGTTCGCGAATAGCTCGTGTTTATTTTATCAAGAAATTTATGTTCAGCTCATTCTCTAAATTAACAAATTAAATACGAACAATTTTTTGTTTCCTCCTGTTCTGCTCGTTTTGGCTCGATAGATATATATCTCCTCTGCGAGGGCAATGC